CTTCCTAAATTATTTATTCACTTTTTCCCAAACAAGGGGGTGATTCTTAAACGGAGGTGCTTGTGTCAGGTACATTTTAAATAAAAGTTAAATCACAAGCATAATTTTCCTTTACGTGAATCTGTGACCAAACTTTGAAAATTCAAGTCTTAACATATTCTTAACAAGCAGGAAACTAACTTTAAACAAGCCCTCAATGACCTCTGCAGGCATTGTGGAGCAATTCAGCTTTAAAGTTCAAGTACTGAAGTCCTTTCTCTCATCAGTTCAGCTCAGCCTGCTGTCTCCTCCCAGCAGTGACACAGTATCCTTGCATCCTTTTCATATCCAATATTACAACTGAGCAGGAGGTCTGGGGTAGGGTAGCAGGGGGAGCTGAGCTGCTGAGAAAAAAAATTGAATGACTTTAGTGCTTCTGCTATAGACTTTGAGAATTATTGCTCAACAGTGGCTTCAGCTACAGAGGTCAAGGTTGGCTTGTATTAAAGTTCATTTATTGCTAGTTAAAAATATGAAAGATTTGAAATTCCGTAGTCTGGGCACTGGTTCACAATAAGTATCAACATCTTATTACAACTACAAATTTTCAGATGCTTTCCGTGAAGCCTCTGGGTTTAAAGAATTAATTCATTGTGAACTAGGCCTACATTTGCACCAAGTGGTGATAAATGTACAGCCTGTCTGTGTGAAACAAAGGCCAGTGATTGACTGTTGCCAAGCAATGGAACAGCTGGCAACCGCACATGCATGAAGGATTTTCCTTTGTTATAATGATTTTGGAAACCATCAAACAGCAGGTTTATTTTGATGATAACTGGAGATGGTGTGTACTATATTAGTAAACTGGTGGATTGAATACAACATCTGAACTCTCAAAAAAAATCCTAATAAGAGTAGGCCAGTGTGTAAACACCTATAATGCATTAACCACTTAAGCTCTGGAAGATTTTACCCCCTACATGACCAGGGTATTTTTTTGCTATTCAGCACTGCTCTACATTAACTGGCAATTGTGCTATCATGCAACACTGTACCCAAATGAAATTTATATCTTCTTTTTTTCACACAAATAGAGGTTTTTTTGGTGGTATTTGATCACCACTGGGTTTTTCATTTTTATTATATAAAACGAAAAAAGACTGAAAATTTTGAAGAAAAAAAAAACAAAAATAAAATGTCTTCATAAATTTTGACCAAAATGCATTCTACTATATTTACTTTTGTAAAAAAAAACAACCTAATAAGTATATATTGGTTGGTTTGTTTGAAAGTTATAGTGTCTAAAAACAAAGGAATACATGCTGGAATATTTATTTATTGTGCACTAGAAATGGTGGTGATCAGCGACGTATAGTGAGAATGTGGCAGGTAATCTGACACTGGGTGGGAACTGACTAACTGCCACCTCTAGTGACACTAAGTCCCCTGTCACACCGATCCAACTCCAATTGTGCAACTTCCAGTGAAGCGGCATGATTTCAAAGTCGGATGTCATTCCGACTTGAGGTGCGACTTGCAAGACATCCGCGGCTGGCAAGACACAGATGTCTATGAAAGGCGCACCTGAAACATGCACTACTTTAGAAATTGGTGTGGCTCCAACCAAGTCAGAATCACACCGATATGACCACTTTAATTGCGGACAATAGGGTGCGACTTACCATGCGATTTGAAACTCGAATGGCATGGCAAATCGCATGGCAAGTCGCACCCGGTGAGACCGGGCACTAATACAGTGATCAATGATAATACTATACACTGTCACTGTACTACTGACACTGGCTGGGAAGGGGTTTACATCTAGGGGCAATCAAAGGGTTAACTGTGTGCGTAACAAGTGTAATGTGTGTAATGTGTGCTGCTTTTACTAGGAAATGTGATTGTTTTATCTCCCTGCTTTGCAGGGAGAAAAAAAGCCACATCTCTGCTCCGTGTACAGAGCCCTGTGTTGTTAATAGACACAGGGCTCTGTACTGTCATTCGCCAAGCCTGATCGACTTGTCCTGTGCCAAATGAAATCACAAATGGGGTGGGTGGGGCATGAATGCCCCCTACCCAGAAATGCTGGATCACATGCATGTACGTGATCCAGCACAGAACGGCCGCCCCACCACAGTTTATATACATGGGGCGGTCCGCAAGTGGTTAAGACATGTTTTTGAGAACTGCATTTAGACAGGTTTGAGAAGGCATCGTTGGCAATGGGATTCCTTTCATTATGAACACATCATTGGCAGCAGGATTCCTTGCATTAAGATCTTTTTCAGTCATAAAGCAGCATCTACATTGGGTTGAGGTTTTCTATTTTCTATTATTAAAGAATAAGTAATATGTGTCCTGGGAGTATTAAACTGTTTAATGCATGGCATTACAAATCTTTGTACTTATCCCTGAGGGACCAGTCCCTTACTGAATTTATATGAGCATTTTAATACAATACTTGACCAAACTAACTCTCTTGGATAATAAATAAAATGAATTCTCTTTGTGTACCTTTCAGATCTGCACTCCAAACAAAATTAGCATTTATAGCAACAAGTCTAACTAACTCACTGTTCTTGTCCTGTATGCACAATAATTAATTTACTGGCTCTGTAACTCAGTGATGTAGAAGCTGCCACACGCAGGTGGATCAGATTAAACATGTTATAAAAAATGAGCTACAATTACAGGCTTTCACTGTGAGAATAAGTGAAAGCCATTGGGGTAATGAATAAGTGCTGTCTATAGCGTGAAACGCATTTACCTGCCAGTCCCCCACTGTATTTCCACTGTTTCTATTGGTTTCATCTTGGTTCAATAAAGTGGTTTGTTTGGAGTGCAGCTGATCCTTTGTTATCATCTATGCAACACACGAGCAGGGCTAGCACCTACAGGAGGGGTTGTGCTTGGAGATTGGGAGTCTCTCTACTTGAGCAGCGGTAAAACATATATGTATTGATTTTTTAAATATTTTTATTGGATATGTTTTATAACAGTAACATTTTCAGTCTTTTTTTCATTTATATGGTAGAAAAAAAACAAGTGGTGATCAAATACCACCATGAGATTGTTCTATTTGTATAAAAAAAAAATTATATAAATTTAATTTGGGTACAGCATTGCATGACCACGCAATTGCCAGTTAAAGTAGTGCAGTGCTGGATAAAAAAAAAATGGTTTGATCATGAAGGGGGTAAAATCTTCGGGAGCTTAAGTGGTTAAAAAATAAGCCAGTTACTGGGTTATGGAAGTACATGTGTTGTAACGATTTGATTCCACTTCTTTAACTATTGTCAGGGTTCAAAGTGCAAAATGTAAGCTAGTTTATATCAAACTGGTGAAAATAATCTTTGGCAAATTCACAGTTTCATGTCATGTTGCAAGATACAATTTACGCTTAGATAACAGAAAAGTGATGTAGAAGGGGTGTCCCTAGGGTTGGTGTCACCTGGTGCGGTAACACTTGGTGTCACCCCTCCGACGATCCCCGCAGGAACCTCCTTCATCTGACATCACTTCTCGAGCATGTGCAGACCGGACCGGTGTTGAAAGATCAGTTAACCCCGTATAGGTTGCAAGCCGACGATCCCTGCAGGATGGATTGGATCTGCGGATTGAGCATAATGGATCAGACTCAGATTCATTATGCTCCCCAATCCGCAGATCCGATCCATCCTGCAGGGATCATTGGCTTGCAATCTATACGGGGTTAACTGATCTTTCAACACCGGTCCGGTCTGCACATGCTCGAGAAGTGATGTCAGATGGAGGAGGTTCCTGCTATCGCGGCCGCATTTCCAGACATTTCTGAATCTGCACAGCCTTACCTAGATGAGTTAATCCCGTATAGGATGCAAGCTGACGATCCCCGGAAGATGGATCAAATCTGCGGATTGGGGAGCATAATGGATCAGACTCCAATCCATTATGCTCAGTCTGCAGATCCGATCCATCTTGCAGGGGATCGTCGGCTTGCTTTAAAACTTTTGTTTTCATGGAGCTCGTTTTCATGGAGCTGTGCGATAGGTGTTACCCAGTGCGGTGCGCACCCCCTGCACCGCCTAGGGACGCCACTGGCACATTTACCAACAAACCATACCAGCATCGGTATTTATGCAAACTGAAAGGAATTAGCAATTTCCGTTCATTTTCTGTGGACTGCCAGGCCCTATTCCTGTCAATGTTACCCACATTACCTTCACTATAAGCACTTACCCATACCATTTGCTGGCTGATATAGTATAGGACTGCACTGTTTACATTCTGTGAGTGCTGGCTTCTGGTTCTTGGTAAAACCCTAGCCTATCCTTTGCCTCCTGTTGTTCTACTGTACGTCTGCCTATTGATTTGGTACTTTAGATCAGTTGTCGGTTAAATTGTACGCTATTGCCAATGATGCAAACCACCTAATAAGATTCAGTCTGCTGGAACAAACAGCCATTCCTTCACAGCAACAAAAGGTTCTAATTGGACCTGGAGATCAGGGCGTGACCATTCGTGATGTCAGCGTGCACATCGGGACCACGTGGTGTGATCACGTGACTGCTACTGCGGGAGCCCATACCAGTGTGTGCCGGGACTGTCACTCGCCGCTGAAGTGGCTGCTAGAACGTCTGGTTTCTATTCATACACTGTGATTTTTTTTTTTATTGACTCAATGTGAGTGCTATTTTAAGGGAGGTATTATTTTTCAATAAATGTGTTAAACGGAATTACACTATGTGGCTGTTCTGTACTTTGCCCACATATGAAATTGGAGTAATATGATTAAGTCTTGATGGTGAGGAGGTCGGAAGGAGAGTGATCAATATTTATATCTGATGGATGGTGATCTTGGTCTGAGATAGTGCAGATGAATATTCTACTGTCTGTCCTTTAACCCCCCCGGCGGTATTCCTGAGTGTAGGTCAGGGTTAACTTTCAGTACCAGAAGTGGTAACCCCCGAGCTACACTCAGGATTACCCTGCAGCGTTGCTCTGGGATCCCTCCAGCACTTACCTTGTCTTTCGCTCCCGCAATGTCTCCCCTGCAGCGTCCCTGGCCATGTCCTCTGGCCGATGCCGGCATCTGTCTTCCGGGTTCCGTTCCCTGTGAGTGTCGGGACATACGGGGGATGTAACTGGCGGGAAATTAAAAAATGTAAAAATGTGACATTATTATTATTATTATACAGTAATGGCGCCAAAAGGTTTGCTCAGCGCTGTACATTATAGTGGGGGACAGAACATGAGACAATACAGCAAAAAAAAAAGGACACGAGCGGTTCAAGGGCCCTGCTCTTTCGAGCTTACAATCTAGGAGATTCACTCAATACACTAAAATCACATAGTAAAACATTACGGTATCAACCAATTTCACATACATTTTGTCCCTAGTGCTTTGTCCTGTGCCCTGCCTGCATTTTTACCGTCCTTTCTGCCAGGAAACTGAGAAACGTCTATGGCATCAAAAAAGCGTCCCTTTAGGTCAAAAGCGGTTTTAGACCAGCTAGAGAACAGCGATAGTAAATCAGAACCACTTGCAGAATTGAGTGATAATGATTCGTGGGGAAATTTGTCATCAGACACTGAAAACGATTTTGCGACTAAGCTTAGTGATGTGCGAACTTGGCGCTATATTTCAAATTTCATTGTTTTTGGTTTGATAATATTATTGAATTAAATTTTTTATTATTATTTTTTTATGATTATTTATTAAATTATAATTTATGATTTCAAATGTTTCAAATTTTATCATACCCCGGATGTTTACTAGACTCTTGTTCGGACAGATTTCAGTGAGTTATTCCTAAGAATTACAGGCCTACAATAAAAAAACAACATATTTCCATGCAAAAAATTTACCACTTTGAGAACAGAAATACTGACATAATCAGACTGCTAGGGATGTTAATAATCATTCAGCACCAAAGATGTTTATTTTCCACTGCTGGTTACTCACCAACATCTGGTGAGTGTTCAATCTGATGGGGCGTTAATCACTGCAGAATCAAAATGATGGTGTATTGGACTGTTTTAAAGGAATAATACATTGATGAAGTGAACTGAACTTTATTCACATTTGTACACTTTGGTGGAAGTCTTGCTTTCCTTTCCATTCTGCGATATCTGTGTACATATGATCTTAATGTTTTAGGGTAATTTGAATATAACTGAGTGCTGTTTATGAGGACGGTTTAAACAACTCATCTATTTGCATACTTATTATTATTTAAAACGGCTGCTTTATTATAGTATATATGATCTTATCGATTCAGTTTCTTTATCTTTCACCATTATTTAAGCGCTGGGATAAAAGTTGCTATTTCAGCTTATATATATTTATCCCATAATAAGATTGTTTCACAGCAAAATCCTAGCCTCCTTGCTGTTCCTGAGTAAATGCTGGATACCTTTTCAATTTCAGATAATAGGAGCCTACATCTACGACTACTGACACTATCACAGTTCATTTTTTGTAGGTGTGGCATTCGCATTCAGAAGTGCGGGCATACCATCCATTATGCTATGTTGTATTAGCAATTCACAAATATGTACATAAGTTAATGTATTTGTTTGCTATGAATAATGTGTTCATTATGACTTAAGGAGTATGACAGGTATATGTTCCATTCCCTTTCTTTTTTTCAGCTCTCCTTTACGGATGTGCATGCATTACAGTAGCTGCCTTGTCATCGCTGCTCGGTGGTGGTGTTCTACAGGTACTAATTTGGTGACCAGTCAAAAAGAGATATATTGTTTTTCAGATGATGTGTTCTCTAACTATCGGCTCTCTGTTCTCTTGCACAGGGCTCCTTTACAATAATGGGAGTAATCAGTGGTCCACTCCTGGGAGTTTTTATCTTAGGAATATTTACCAGTTCATGTAATACTGTGGTAAGTATGTCCTTAGCAGCATCAACCCTATTTTGCCTTTACGTTTTTTCTATCATTTTGTTTTTATGTACTGTCAATGGAATTGCCACAGCCCCTGTCTGTTTTCTTATTTGATGTCTGTGTTCCACTGCGGAGAGATTTGCCTTGATTTCCTGCTACAGAGACACAACGGAAAGTGAGAGAGATTGAAATTTGCTGCAGATATGACTGTTATTAGTCAAGATGGTGCTGGACACATGGTTGAGTCCTTTGTGTTTTATTGGAACACAACAGAAACACATAAACAAGAAATTATATCATAACCCTGTAGTTTCACTATAGAGAACTATAAATGATAGAAAACATAATATTACCACCTTTGTGGCAGAACTACTATTAATCACAGTATAATATATCAGAATGGTTGTTGCCCCTCTGTCTGTATAAACAACATGCTAAGAGAGAGGAAATATCTCCAAACGAGAAAAGAAATCCTCTCTAAATCAGAGACAGCAGTTTTATGTATAAAAATAACAAACAATATAATCAGGCAGTGAATTCCAAAGAACAGGAGTTTTATTTCTATCAGCTGCAGCTGGAAGCAAGTTCACACAGGCCATTTTATAAAAAAGTTTCACCATAGAATTACATGTGGAACAATATGATTGGTTGCTAAGATCTACGTCATTGTAACCAACTATAAAATCTGACACCTGTCCTACGTCCAGACAAATTTATTATTTCCCACAATTCCTATATGTTTATTAAAAATTATTTGTAATAGTCTTTGTCTATACTTTCACCCAAATGAAATCCTTATCTACAGACAGTATGATACCTAACGTGTTCATCATCAAATCAAACTTCTTGTTCTGATAAGACTTCCCCATCCCAAGGACAATAGCATAATTACAACTTTGGGAAAATGAACTTTTGTTCACCCCACTGTATGTGTTAAATGTCCATAAGTGTCTAACAATTCAGCTCCATATATGTATGTATTAATATATTGGTTACATAAATATGTACTATATTAAATATATATATATATATATATATATATATATATATATATACTGCAACGTTAACTGTTTTATTTTCTTATTTAATATTTTCTAGATATTAATGTAATAAATAAATATTATATATATATATATATATATATATATATATATATATATACACACAGTAATACCTTGGTTTATGAATTTAATTCGTTCTGCAGGAGTTTTCGTATAGCGAAAAATTTATAAACCGAAACACCATTTCCCATAGGAATGCACTGAAAACCAATGAATGTGTTCCGAAGGTCAGTAAAAAGTAAACGCTACTAAAATACTGCATGAGTTATTTTATGAAGTCACGCGATATTTTAGTAGTGACAGCCATGTGTTAATGTTTCAGCTGTCAGCAGGGTTCCCCACTGACAGCTGAATGTAAAAGAATTGCCAGCAATTAAAACAAAAATTAAAAAACAAGGGTGGGGTCCCCCCTCCCATTCATACCAAGCCCTCTAGGTCTGGTATGGATTTTGAGGGGAACTCCTGAGCCAAAATAAAAGAAAATGGTGTGGGGGTCCCCCCCAAAAATCCATACCGGACCCTTATCCGAGCATGCAGCCTGGCAGGTCAGGAAAGGTGGGGGGGACAAGCGAGTGCCCCCCCCCTGAACCACAGCAGGCTACATGCCCTAAACATGGGGGGGTGCTTTGGGACAGGGTGGGCTCCACAGACCCCCGCAACCACTGGCCAGGGTTGTGGGGAAGAGGCCCTTGTCCCCATCAGCATTGGGACAAGGTGCTTTGGGGGGAGCCTTAAAGCCCCGCCCCATGTTGAGGGTATGTGGCCTGGCATGGTTCAGGAGGGGGGCGCTCCTCCCCCTTTCCTGACCTGCTGGGCTGCATGCTCGGATAAGGGTCTGGTAAGGGTTTTAGGGGGGGACCCCCACTCCATTTTTTTTTTTTTTGGCTCGAGAGTTCCCCTCAAAATCCATACCAGACCCAAAGGGCTTGGTATGGATGGTAGGAGGGACCCCACACCATTGTTTTATTTATTATGGTGCCATTTTTTTAAATGTAATTACCGCTTTTTTTCTTTTCACTATAGCTCAGAAATTCAGCTGTCACTTTCCCCCCAGCTAAAAGAGAGAGAGTTTTTCTTTTAGTTTATTTCCCCAAGTTAAAAAAAACTAAGTTTCCGTTAACTCTGGGGAAAGTGACAGCTGTGTTTTACTGTGTAAGCACATTGCTTTGTATTGCTCTGCTATGCAGAGCAATACAAAGCAGTGTGTAGGAGATGACAGGGGAGAGATCTGTATTGTTTACTTATAGACCTCTCCTCCGTCAGTGATACTCGGCAATCGCTGGGTGCCGGCTGGGAATCACTAGCCGATGATCGACAGCTGAATGGCGGCTGCACGTGTGCCCTCTACACGGAAATGCAAAATCACGTATATATACGTCATTTTGCGCAGCCCTGCCACCCTTTAGCAGTATTTCTGCTATAGGGAGGTGGGCAAGCGGTTAATTCAATTTAACTTAACTCAAACTTATCTTAAAGTGTTTGTTAGCTGCAGTTGACATTAATAGGTTTTATCTTTGTTCCCATAACAGGTGAATGTGTGTTTGTATTGGCATTAAAGACTAATTTGATAGTAATGTGTTAACAACATTAAGTGGAGATTCTAATGTTTTATTTTTTTGCTAATCCAACTGTGAACATTTCTTTGCATAGTTGGAAAACCTTGCAACATTCATTCTTAAAGGCAAAACTATCATTATTTCTGGATCATTTTAACATATGATGAACACATAGGTGTCAAACTGGCGGCATTTTTAAACTTATGTTTTAGATTCTAATAAACATTAATATAATATGCACCCATAGCAGGATTCACTGTGTTTTACAAAGAGCACAGCAAAATGTTTTTCCCTCAGAAGGTATGGTTGCAAATTCACACAGAACCTGTTTAATATGCAGGCTGTGAGCAATTGTTCATTTGTGTATATAGAGTTCATGCTGAGCTGTAGAGCTCTGTAAACAATAGGCAGAGTTTCCAAGAAATTAAATGAAAAGAAGTCTGGAGTTCCATCTGATGACTTAAAATGAGTATACAAAATGTTTATATGCAATATTTAAAACCACAACTATGTACTGTAACTATATGTAAAAACAATGCATTGATTCATAATGAGAATTGGCTAATACAAATTAAACGTATTTCCACCATATTCTAAATCACACCAAGGTATGCATAATTGCTTGTTTGCAAATGTTCTGTGTAAATAATGAACCTGTTAATAACATTTACATATATATTTACAGCTACTGTATAAAAGTCTCAGGTGCTTAGTACTGACAGACTTAATCAAGATAAAGATCTAATGATGTATATTTTTAGACAAAAGATTAGTTACCTTGCATCATCCTCAGGTGATCACACTTACTATTGGCACTTTCCAGCTGCTCAGCACATGTAAACACAGATTAAAAAATAATTACAGTGAACCTATGGAGTTGAAATAATATTAGAGTAATTGTTAAGCTTTACCTTTTTTAATCTAAAATAATAAACATATCACACTTACCTGCTCTGTGCAATGGTTTTGCATAAAGCAGCCCCGATCCTCCTCTTCTGGAGTTCCCTGCCAGTGCTCCTGGCTCCTCCCTGCACCAAG